ATGAATCCCTATTAGTCAGCCCAACAGACAGTGTACTGGATATACATAAATGAAACCACTAAAAGAGATAGCTTCTCAGTGATGCTATGCTATGAGAACTCAAAGTGACAGAACTTGAGTTTTCAATATGATTTCGTAATTGATGCAAATTTGAACTTGCACCTTATACTGTCCTCCAACGTATCATTTTAAGTATAATGGGTTACCTGAAGACCTCTACCCAGTCCTTTTCTATCCCACCCAATACACAGAGACATGGTGCATATAGAGTTGGTCAGAGCTCTGGCTTATATGTTCTATTGCTTATGCTAATTATCTAGATGGAGCCAGTAGTGGTAATAATAGTAGTAGAGAGCTTCAATTTTCAACTGGAACCTTCAAGAAGGAACAATTGGCCTCTGCAAAAGCAATTGTAGCTTAAAAACAGCACTAAGAACAAGGGGTTGGGAGAGGGAGTCAAAAAAAGGTTAAAATCCTCTCTTCTGCTTGGACACCAAACACATAAAGTGAGACAACAAAGAACATAGACTTCACCCAATATCAAAAACCTCCTCCACATGATCAAATATTTCTCAACAGAAGTTTTAGTATTAGAGAAAAATAATTGGGTTTAACTCACTCCCTGTCCAATGAAAGGAGCATGCAAGAAACACATCCAATTGTGACTTTACACTCTATCACCTTTACCCCTTTGTATCCTCAATTTCATATATCAGTTTAAAGATCCATATTGTCAAAAGTACATACAACACAGCCAACCTGCAAATGCCCCTTCCCAAGCCACTCATTGTAGATGTTATGAGCCGAGTAATTCACTAGTCCTACGGATCGTTACCCAGGTCACATTCACTCTAAACAATCACTCCTGATTATATGCATGCAGAATTTCGCCCTATTACTGTTATATTATCAAGACTACATTGTTAAATTATACCAAAAATTATAGATATGCAATTTCCTGACAGCTAAATCAAACTAAGTAACAGAAGAAAAACAAACATCAGAAATAACCAACCCATCCTGATTGAACTACAAAGCAGAAAAGCAACACTTAAAAACAAATATGGAGAAATGATTTTAAAGCAAACTTAAAAAAGTTTTACCCGATCGAAGTGCCTAACTCATACAATTCCTTGAATCAAAATTTCAGCATAAATTTGATAAAGAGACGAATCTATAAAAAAATTTCCACCAATCAAGAATTCAGAACCAATTAATTAGCTTCGATATACTAATTAAATTGAAGTATTAGGATTAACATGCTGCACAGCTATTCCTATCCCGTGCAATGTCATATCAAGCGTAAGAAGAGCAGAAGCATACCTTGGCAAGAGCAAAGCAATTCTTCTTAGTGAAATCTACTGTTTATAAGATCCTGAACCTCAGATCTCCCATTCTAATCCATTAATCTGTAATCAAAAAACAGAATGCGCCAACGAGGCCGCTTGCACCTTCCAAATGCGGAGATGGCAGACCTGGATTCGGCAGTCAAGAGCCGGACGTCGAGTGCCGCCTGTGGAGACACAAGACGTTGAATGTGAAGGAAGGCAAGTATCACGAGGTTTTGGGGATCAAAGAGCTCCATTCTTTGATTTCTGAGCGGAAGGAAGAAAGAGAGTCGGAGATGCAGGCAAAGCGAAAACCACATAAACAAAAGGCGAGAATGAAAAGGCGTCGTCC